TCGGTTACTACTTTGGCGGCTATACTAGCAAGGAAACGGACTCCAACTTCATCGGTAACCAAAGTGTCCAGGGCCGCCCTGCCCCTGGGCTCGTGTCTTTTGACATGCGATCTCGCGAGATGCGAAACATTTCATCCAGCAGATTCGGTAAGTATGGGACGTTCAAGGGCGGCTCCTCGCATTTTGTGCCGTTCGGCCCTGAGGGTTTACTTGTCGTCTTGGGCGGGTGGGAGGCGACTGTGTTAACAACTCGCTTCGATGGCTGGGAAGAGATGGCATTCGATGAAATCTCAGTCTATGACCCCCATGGTCAGTATCTCCAAATTTAAAACGTGTATCTGAGCTGACATCGCCATGTCGAAGGCGACCAGTGGTATCACCAACAAACCACGGGTGAAAATCCGTTTCCCAAAGAGAAGTTTTGCACTACGGGTGCTCCTGGCCCCAACAACACCTATGAAATGTGAGTGTAGCATTTTGACTCAAAGGACAATAATCTAATGAATTTCCGTTGAACAGCTTCATCTACGGCGGCCGAAAGACAAAAAGCGTCGATACCTCGGACGAGGTCCATGTCCTTAGCCTTCCTGGGTTCAACTTCTTTAAGGCAGACAACAACGGCCTTTCGACACCACGCGCAGACCACGCCTGTACGGTAATTGGCGGACGACAAATGCTATCTGTTGGCGGTTTACTTCCTGAAACATTTATCGGCAAGAGATTCTCAACACCGGATCCATGGCCCTTGGGTCTCGGCATCTTTGACATGACGGAACTGCGTTGGACAAACCGTTACGATCCGAATGCGGGAGGCTATGACTCTCCCAAGATGGTTAAAGATTGGTACAGCCAGGGTAACGTGGCTAAGTGGGAATCTCCTGAGCTCAAGGCGCTCTTTGGTCAGTGTAAGTCAGACCTGAACACCCTTTGTCTGTTGGCGACTGGTGGCTCATCAACGGTTTAGGGTCCCCGAACGCTGTAGTGGATGGTGCAAGCGAAGTAGGATTGCCTGGTGATACAGAATCTCAGGCATCAGAATCTCAGCCATCAAGCCCTAATATTGGTGCTATTGTGGGTGGCGCCGTTGGAGGAGTCGCAGCACTGGCTCTCGTTGCTGGTCTGGTGTTGTTCTTCAGGAGACGGAGGAGACGGAGGAAGCGGCAGGTAGTGGCGGCACCGCAGGACTCTTCCTCTGCGCCGAAGTTTGGCTCAGTCGGCACCGCGTATACGACGCCGACCTTGACTGAAATTCACGAAGCGCACTCTCACAATCTCCTCGAGTTGCCAGCAAACCACGGGGTGCCTCCTAGCTCATGTGAGCCACAGCCTAGGCACGAGATGGCGGCATGAGAGTCAGTGTGCCGATGAAGGATATCAAGATCACTTGTAACGGGACGTAGTAGTTATAACAAACGAAAAAGCTTTTGATTTTGGTCCCCATCCAAGGGCGGACTGATTATGTGGTATCGCCATCTAATGTTCCAAACGTCATCACATCATTGCTGCAACCGCGCGCGCGCCTCTCCTTGCCTTCTAAGCACATTTACGCGTCACCCATCTCCTCATCGTCGTCGTCCTCGTCAGTCTCGAACTCGGCGTCGCTGAGGTCGCCGGCCTCCTGCGCTTGGGCTATCATGGACAGTAAGTCTCTGTCACCATCACCACGGGCGGCGGCGGCGCCCTGCGAGCGGATGAACTTACTGAAGTAGGTGAGCGCGTCGGGCCAGAGGTCCTGGGCGATGGCGGTGGCGATGTCGTCGCCGTCGGGGAAGATCTCGTACTCGAACTCGTCCTCCTCGTCGTCGTCATCCTCGTCGGCCTTCTCCTCGACCTTCTCGCCGGCCTTGCGGCGGTTGAACTCGTCGGCCTCCTTGGCGGCGAAGGCGGCGCTCTCCTCGGCGGAGATGCGCTTGCCGACGTAGCCGAACCAGCAGAAGAAGGAAACGCCGCCCATGCCGGTCTCCTCGATCTTGGCCTTGAGGGCCTGGGCCTCGGGGGTGGGGGCGGGCTTGCCCTTGCCGGAGAGGACGGGGCCGCCCTGGGCCCAGACCTTCTGGACGGCGGTCAGGAGGCCGTCGGTCAGGTCCTTGCCGGCCTTCCAGTTGATGTTGACGGGCTCGGAGACGAGGCCGGTGTAGTTCTCGGAGGTGCGCCACCAGAACTTCTTCTCGAGGACCTTGTCCTCGAAGTGCTCGTTGTCGCCGAACTCGAAGCGGATGGCGATGGAGCGGGGGTCGCCGTTCTGGCCGTTCTCGAGCTCGAAGCGAGAGACGGAGATGTTCTTGAGGGAGGCCAGGAGGAGGGCGGCGTCCTGGGGCTGGATGTACTCGTCAATCTCGGGGGGAGACTGCTCGAAGACGAGGGCCCAGAAGTTGGGGATCTTGGCGACGATGGCGGCGCGCTTCTCGTACAGAGGGCGAGAGAGCTCGTACTGGCGGCGGACTAGAAGACGGGGAGGGCGTGTGAGATTACAGATTTTTTCGAGGGCTCGGAAGGAAAGAAGGCGACAAGAGTGTGTGAGGGAGGGAGCAAAAACTTACGCATCTCAGTCTCGACCTGCTCGAACTCGCGCTCGATGTCGGCGAGCTCCTCGTAGGTGACGCCAGTCTCAATCATCTCGACCATTTTGGCGGTTGTAATGAAGATTCGGTGAAGGATGAAAAAGAGAGTGAGTGTGTGTAGTGAGGGTGAAGCTCAAGTGTGTTTCTGAGATTTCACCGTGGCGGGGTATTGATTATGGAGGGGTAGCAGGAAAGATCAGGCAGCGCAAGATGAGAAGGAGCAACTGGGAAAGGGGTCGCCTCGCACTGGGGATCACCGCTTAAATATGAATCGCAAGTGCAGTCTGCTTAGCAAATCGTCACGAATTACAACACTTTTGTGATTTATTATGTATGGGCCGTGAAAAAAAATTCATCACCCAGCATGAGGAGGGACGGACGGGTGACGAGGGGACCCGACTGGACTGACGTGGGGTTCGAGGACAACCAGAAGAAAAAATTTCCCCCTCGGTGCAAGCTTCCTGCACGCTGCCTTCCCTAGTCGGTGGTTTTTTTTTCCCCAGGCGGTGACTGATGTCATTGGGTACGTCCCACGTCCCTGTTGATCTCGAAGTTTTCAGAAGAGGAGGAGGAGGAGGCCACCCTAGTCCAGTCTTCCCATCAATGAGAGGTTGCGCAACGATGCAGCCAGCGCAGAACGACTGGATCAGAGACGGAGAATTTTGGCGGGGCAGCCACAAAGCTGGTTGGCGATGGACATGGATGTTGTCTAGGCCTGGCCCAATGAGGAATGTCGTTTTTTGGTACTGGTGAAGATAGATGCCTTTCTCACTAACAACGGGCAGCGAAGAAAAGCCATTTCTTGGGTGCTTCTCTGGCGTGTCTCTGTTAAGCTCTCGTGAAAGGCGTTGCAGAAAATCAGGGGTCCTCTTAAGACCCTGGGGCGGGTCCTCTCTGTGGCTGCTACAGGAACATCGCTCACTTTTTTTTCTCTCTCTTCTAACTAACCCACATCTACCAAGTCCACAGCTGTGATTCCCCCACATCAATTTCCCACCCGCTGCCTTCTAGATCGCCAGTCACACTCAATCTTGTGAAAAAATTCGGTCGTGCCCCGAAGAACATTTTCTTGTTTTTGCCTAAGTCAGCGGCAATTGCACCGGTATCCGCCCTGGCCTTACCGGGAGACCGCTGCCAACTTTTGTCATGCGGGATTCGTGCTAACCACTACTGGCACTTTGTTGTTTTTCTCCATGGCCAAGTGAGGTCCACTGAGGGGTTGCTTTTGTTGTTGTCCCCCTCTCGCGTCGAGATTGGGTTGCTTATGGCTTCTCTGAAGTTCTGCCAAATTCTCACGATGTTTGACACTGGAGATGCCGGGCTTAAAAGTCGGGTTTGACAGGCAGCAAGTGATTGCAGGCAGAGCAGGCTGTTGTGGGAGTTGAGATATTGAACATGTCAGAGGCTCCTTCACTCGCCCGGTAACAGCTGAGTTCTCGAGGGTGTAAACAAACCTCGGAGCAGTATCCCTGCAGGTCGAAGGAAGAGAAAGGTCTTTCTGGAAAATATTGTCAATCTTAGCTCCTAGGATGATGGCAGTACGGGATCTTCGTTCACGGCACTAATACGAACCGGAGGACGGAATGTCGACTTTAGTCAGTGCGTAGGTAGGAAGAGGGTCATACCGCCCCCTCACCTACGGGATGTCACCGCGACCAGAGTTTTTGTTTACACCACGGTCAGCTCCGGTCACTTCTGGATGGTGTTGAAATCTCGAAGAGTTTGTACGGCGAGATTCTAGCAACTGTCTCATCTTCTGAAAGCACGTAGGTAGAATGAACGGCCAGGAAAGCGCAGACGAAGTGTCCTCACTCAGAAACACGTGAACCATGAGAGTCATCCACCTTCAACTAACCAGCAACATCCTAGGTTTTCGTTGCCGGGAAACGCACGTGAATGCCCAGGGGTTTGATGGGCAGTATTCATTGGTGCTTCTCACCACAGAGACAACATATGTCTGGTCGACAAGTCTCGGACCGGCTTTCTGGCTCTCCATCATACAGACATACTTCCTCAGAATGAACTCAATTGGAAGATGGGTGGCATGTTCAACCAGCCTTGATCTCGACCAGAGGTAGGACCCTTGCCGGACGCGGCGCGCTTCTCTTCTATGGCCAGTCAGCTATGATCATAGCAACAGAAGCTAAAGACGCGTCTTGCGAGACCTTCACGGTGATTCTATCAGGTCTTGGCGCCAGTGTGAACTCAACAGGCTTGGTTCATACTTCTATTAATTGCTATGGGATAACATCACATCTCCCAGAGTATGTAGCACCATGTTCAGATGATTTTACACAACGGGCAAGCGCAAAATGAAGTCTACTTATATATCCGCCAGATTTCACGTAAGTAGCTATTCGCCAAGTATGCAGTATGGATGTTGTGTGGGGGTTTATTCAAGATACATTCGAAGTGGGAAGCTAGCTGCCTGTCCGTCGCTCAAGGCTTGGATCTGCCATGCACAGAGAGATCAGGAATTGAGCGCTGCTTCATCCATTGTTCCATATCCTGTGAGCGACTCTTGGGCTCCAACGGCTGATTGTCGGCAGAAATCTCGGCTGGGTTGCAATCTCCATGCGCTTCTGCGAGATTACAGTCGCTATGTACCTCAACAGGATCGCCATCTCCGTGCAGCTCAAACAACTCGTGGCCGGCGGTTGCCACTTCTGTGCGCGCTTTCAAGTAGTGCTGATCATTCTTCTCCTTACGCTCGGTCTCCAGCTCGTCAAGTGAGCTTCGAATTGCTTCTGCGCGGCGCTTCTTCCTTTTGCACGCCAGCACGAAGAGCGCGACAATGAGAGCTAGCAGTCCAACGAGGCCGCCAACCACCCCGCCTATAATAGCAGTAAGTGATCGTCGGGGTATACCTGGATCAGAGCTTTCAGATGCCGGGCTAGTTAGAGTGACTGAGTGTTTGCAATCAGTTGCTGATAACTATGGACAGATCATAAGATACACAAACTTACACTCGAGAAACAACGCCCTGACCTCGTCAGAAGACCACTCAACTGAATCTTTGTTCTGGGTGTACCAGTTCCTTACTACTCGAGGAGATTCATAAGCAGCTGCACTAGCGTTGTAATTATCAGACCACCGCATCTGAGTCAAGTCGAAGATGCGAAGCCCTTGGGCCCAAGGGTCTTTGTCAAACCACTCCCTGGGATAACCAAAGTGATTCAGACCTCCAATAGAAAGCATCTGACGACCTCCCGAGCCGACTCTCACGCAAGCGTGATCTGCGCGGGGTGTGTCACTATAACTTGCTTTGAAGAAACGGAAGCCAGGGAGGCTCAAAACATAAACGTCTGAGAAGTCGTAGCTACCTACAGTAGGTCTGCCGCCATAGATGAAGCTAGAAGGGTCAACATTGGTACGTTTGAATATGTCCGACGGTAAAAAGCTTACATTTCATACGTATTCTCTGGCCCAGGCACGCCTACCGTGCAAAACTTTTCCCTTGATTCGGGTATGTCTCCCTGGGTCTTCTGTACGTGCCATTTGCTGGCTGATCAAGCATTAGCAAATTTCTGAGAAACAGATGTTGTGGCCCTTACTTTTAGGATCAAATAAGTAGACAGTGTTGAAATTCATTTCATACCAGTCCGTGAACTTAGTCGCGCGCAACGGCCCTTGGAAGCCCCCCATAACAAGGAGCAAACCTTCAGTTCCGAAAGGCACAAATTGCGAAGAACCACCCTTGAACGTCCCATAGTCTCCGAACCCTTTCACTAAGTCCGAGCGGTTACTGAACTTGCCGTTATTCAAGTCGATGGTCAGAAACCCTGGAACAGAAAGAGGATTATTAGTTTGGCGAATGATATTCGAATCCGTCTCCTCTATCGCGTATCCTCCGAAGTAATATGCGGTCGCATTATTCTGGGCAAAGGTACCCTCAGTGACTTGAATAAGGCTGGGCAATTGGGCGAGGTTGGAGGCCACAGTCTCCCATTCTCCATGTCCGTTACTGAGAGTTTTGAAGCGCCAGAGCTCCTTTTTGGGCGGTTTGACGTGGTTGGTCACTCTGCCTCCCCAGACGTAGAAAGTATCGGATGAAGGATCCTTCCACATCGCTTGGCTAGTCAGTCTTGGGACTTCTGGTCCCTTTGGTGATTTCACAAAGTTGATGGCTGACGTGTTCCATGAATTCTTGAGATTTATGGCGAGCGTCGAATTTGCTGTGAAAAGATCAATGCTCCGAGCTTAATCATATGTAGTATTTAGAAGGTTATCTCACATACTTGGCCATGAGGGATGGCCCTCGCTCTCACCGTTGCCTGTCTGAGAGATCTCGCACCCATCTATGTACACCCAGTCTCCCATGACAATGGCTTGTAAATGTTAGATTCTTCTAGCTTATCTCATGTGATGAAATCCTACCTGAGCAAAGCGATCGCCTCACGAAGGCGGAGTTGGACGGGGCATCTTGACGGGGCGCAAGGTTTGATGCTACGAAACCCGTAGCCACCAGATATAGCAAGAGGAGTGAAGTTGAAAAGTGCATTGATGGCTTCGCGGAGAATCTATCACCAAATTTGCTCTTTCTAAACATGAAGGGTCGAGTTTTCCATCACCGGTGAGAAATCTGACGAGGCTGAAATGGAGGCCTGTTCGTGTGATGTTACCTAGCCCGACCTGGCAGTACGAAGTAGTAATCTCAGGCATCCAAAATTGTCTCATAGACATTCAAGTTGAACGTTTCACGGATAGGCGAGTGTTTCACATTGTCATACTGAGGAGAGGTTTCGCACGTTCCCGTTGCAGGCTGCCGGAGATCGCCCAGTGGTCATTTGTAAACGTTCGCTTCTCTATGCCTCTTGATCGTCTTTATGAAGTCTACTCGGTGCCCTTTGGCTTTGAAGACACACTATTAGCTGTTTTACTGACTAGATATTGGCATGTGTTGGTCCCTTGGAATTGTCTCTCCGGGTCTGAACAAATTAGGCCGGCATCGAAAATATGGTTTTCTCTCACTCTGTTCAACCCCCAACCCCCCCAGGCTTTGTTTTCCATTTGCCTTATGCTGCCATTTCATGCCTTACATGGTTTGATGAGTATGCCTCAGAAACTCCGTGATGGCCTTGTAATTCCACAGGAATCGAGTGTTGGTTGGCATTCGCTTCATGGACCTGGTCCATAGTGGGCTCCATGTAAGCACCACCATCAGAACCGAACTTTGAGACCGGAGCATAGTTTGCAGGATCAGGGGTTCCCGGGCGCCTTTTCTTGCGCTTAAGAAAGAATGCGGCAAGCCCGGCGATCAGAGCAAGTCCTGCTAGTCCGCCAACAATCCCGCCCACAATGGCACCCGTGGGCGTCCCGGATGACCCAGAGCCGACATCGTTCGGAGATGATGTTGGCGTATTCGAAGGATCTGGCAGTGAAGCTTCTCTTGGTATTAGTGACAGTCTCGCTTCACTGAGGCGATGCTCACTTACTCTCTTTGAATAGCGCCTCAACCTCATCACTTGACCAGTCGACCCGATTTCCCTGAGCATACCAGTTCTTAACTACATCTGGAGACTCATACGAATCCGAGCTTGCGTTATATTGATCGCTCCAACGCATTTCCGTCATGTCGAAGATGCCGATTCCTTGAGGCCACGGATCTTTGTCTGTCAGCGACGAGGGCCAGGCGCGGCCGTCCGTTCCGCCGACAGATATCATCTGTCTCCCAGTTGCAACACAAGCCTGTTCCAGGCGTCTGGTCGATCGTGGATCGTTGGCCTTGAAGAAGACAAAACTGGGCAGGCTCAGGACGTAGACGTCATCGGTAGCATTCCGTATCGATTCTCCAATGCCCCGCCCGCCGTAGATGAAGCTGAATTGGAAATTCGTGTGAGCTGCATGTAACTTTGACAAAATTCCCTGCTTACATTTCATATGTCTTGTTAGGTCCTTGGACACCAACTGCACAGAACTTCTCTGTTGGTGGTGGAATGCTGCTCTTCGATCCGGTGGTCTGCTGGGAGTGCCACTTATTGGCTACCGTTGGCTTAGTCGAGACTCGTGGATTTTGATGTTTTCACTCACCCTTTATATCATATAAATTGACGGAAGTGAAGTCTACGCCTGTCCAGCTGCCATAGCCGGTCTCTGTCGGTGCTCCTTGAAACCCTCCCAACACGAGCAGTAAACCGTCCGGCCCAAAGGGCACATATTCCATGGTACCACCCTTAAATGTAAAACTTCCAGGCCCTTGGAAAGTGGTATGGTTGATCGAGCCTGTCTTCAAGTCGTAGGACACAAGACCTGGAACGTTGCGGGTCTTGTCTTTGTCTATAATAGACAAGTCGGTTCTCGCGTTTGCATAGCCACCAAAATAGTAGCCGGTGGTTTTGCTCTGGCAAAAGGCACCTTCTGTTGCTCGATCAAGTTTGTATAGCTCGGCAAGATTGGGCGGACTTCTCTTTGACCAGGCGCCGCCTCCATTACCGTCAACCTCGAAACGCCAGATATCGTTTTCCGGTGGCTTACTCCAATAAGGAACTTGCCCGCCCCAGACGTAGAATGACTTGGAATCTGTATCGCGCCAGACACCCTGGAGTTCCATCCTGGGTGTTTCGCCCTTGGGGGCGGAAAGCATCGTGACATTCGTGCTGTTCCAGGACTGCTTCAAATTAATCGATAGCGTCGAGTTCACTGAACAAGAAGGTCAACAACTTGCTGTATTGCATTGGGAAGATGAGCTAAACTGACCTGGCAATGACGGTGTGTAATACGAGGACATGTTCTTGCCGTCATAGTTCTGTGCGACTTCACCACCATCTATGTAGAGGTAATCACCGATGATGATAGCTGAAGAGAAATCAGCTATAGGCTGTCAAATTTGACACACAGCAAACCTGAAGCGAAAGCTCGACGTAGGAAGTCAGAAAATGGCGGCACGTCGTCACGCCGGGCAAGTTCTGACGCCTCCGACGTGATTTGGCCATGAGCTGCGACTGCTAGCCATGGCAGAAGGAGAAGAATCAATAAGCGCATCGAAAGTGGTCGCCACAACCGAAGCATAAATTTGCGATTAGTGGGGGCTAACTTCCAGTCATTGCGGGAAAGGGGCAGAGAGGCAGCTCATAAAGGAGCGGATGCTTGCTGCCTGATACACGACTCTCGCCTCTCATCCCTTCCAAGGCCAAATGTCGCAGAAGAAGGGATTCAAGGGCCTACATGAGCCCGTAAGCTCTGCCATTCCTTAGTGATGGAAGGCGATGACCATGCTGTCAGAAATACCGATCAGCCTTATGAGGGTGAGCTGCACGTTTTTGACATTGTCTGCCTATGATGTCCAGCCACAGCGAACCATATGGATACCTTCCAGTGGTTCGTGTGGCGACACTGAGTTTTGTGTGTGTGGTATATTGGCACAGCCGTTTCTTTCTGTTATGTTTGTGACAGCACGGGGTTATACTCTGAGACCGCGTAAAAATGAGGTCGTACAAGTTTCCGTCAAAAACCGAGCAACTCACGCACCCAAGTGAATTGACTGCTGCTGTGAGGAGTTGAAATTGAGTTTGATTTGGACAGTAATCTCCTATGCCTAGACGATGGAAGCATTTTCTTTTGTAAGTTGTTTCTATTTCGACGAGAAGCGGTCCGCCAGGACAGAAGTCAAGTATAACATGTCTGCCTCGTTTCCCTAATGCTTGAGGCAACCTTTGCCAGGTCGCGGGCTAAGGGATGCTGTGGCTTGAAAGCCAAGCCTTGCTCAGAAATTTGGATCTGTAAGGGATATCTGGAAATCGCCACTAGCCTCATTGTAATTGGTAATAGGTACTGGGCCCCCAATCTTCCCATCGTGAGTTGAGAGGGGAGATATCTATTTAAAAAGTTCCCAGACTCTTCTTTCACAGTCAGAAGAGCCCTTTGTCATTCCAAATGGCCATTCAGTATAGTGCGAAAGACATCTTGGTATTGCCCGGTAAAGTGAATGAATCAACAATTCAAATTCAAGCATCACATAGGAAGGCAGGGTCCTGTCGAAGATCGTGGAAGAGCCCCTCTACTCCACATCTAGTCGGCTTTCGCGTTGAACGCCCAGAGCCGAGTTGGGTCTAGAATGCCTTCTCCACGATTTCCCCACCTGAGCTTACCAACCGACACTCAATGTCGTTACACTGATGGTATTCTAACTTGGTTTTTGCACCAGTCCTCGAAGCCGGACTTGTTCATCGGTCGGATTTACAAACGGCGCCGCAACGACTTCCGGCGGTACCCTGTTCCTCATCGGACATACTCGCTGTCCGGGCGGCACCGAGGTCAAGATCGACCCAGATCAGACCGGATAGGTCGTCGGAGCTGCCATATATCATCCGAGCTCTGGTATCTCAGAATAAATACGTGAAATCTAATTGAATAATGATCGTAAAACGGCTCCAGACGGCTTAGCCTAATCGACGGGTCGCCTCGCGCTTACAACCCCGTAGCGTGGTGATGACGTCAAAATCCGGGGTAGTTGACAAGAAGGAAACTCAAACAGGGGGCATCACAGACCCCCTGCCAACCTACCCGCTGCTAACCATCCTATGGGAACACAGCCGAGTCGCATGTCATCCATCGCGCTCGCCCCTTTCCTACGTGCCTCATTTGTAAGCTGGCGAAGTTACATGTCGAATGTGCCCCTGCTGCCATACGTACTTAATTAAGGTTCAGTTCCGGCCTGAAGCTCCTCCCCGGGGTTGATGCTTATCTTTATCTAAGATGCGACTGTCCCCTGCATCAAAGAGGATCTCAAAACTTATTGCCATCACTCGAAACCGGTCGTATTTGTTCAACTTTGCAAGATCAATCAACATGGCGACGGCTTACAACATCAAGGTCCCGGTTGCAAACACTGGGTTGTGGAAGTTCAATCAGCAGGATGCCTCTGCGAATAAGGTGTCTGAGCTTCTGCAAAAGGACCTCGAAGTAAGGATTTCACAAACAATTCCCATCTTATCAGGCTTGTAATGACCATGTATAGAAACACCATGTATTCTTCAACGCTGAAGGATTCCACAACCACGTTAGTTGTCTCTCGCCCACCGTAGAACCTCTCTCACCCCCCTCTTAGATACCTCATCACCTCCTTGCCCTCTACGGCACCGGCGCCGACTCTGACGCCCTCCAACTAGCCTGGAAAGACAATGCAAACTATCAACGCCCAGCCAAAGACCCCAGCAACGGTGTTGCGGACGAGCTACACGACTGGGACAAGGCGCAAAAGTACCTCGGCAGAGAGAAGCACTATCCCGACTTCCTCCTCTTCTTTCAGCGCGAGATCGAGAAGAAGGGATGGGAAGAGACACTGAACGAGTACCTCTTCAAGGGTGACGCGCGCGCCGAGGACATGTTTCAGCGCATGTTTGCGGGATTCCTACACCCTATCATCCAGCTCATGTACGGCGTGGAGTGGGAGCAGCCGGCCATCGTCGCCGAGGCCCTGGCGGAGGCTTCCGTTCACAAGAATCAGCTTGGTGATTTCTTTAAAGAGGCCGAGAACAACGCAAAGAATGCTAAGACGCCGATGCCGGAAATCATGGATTTGATCGAGGAGATTAGAGGGAGGGAGAAGTTGGTGAACTCGGTGCAGATGAAGGACTCGAACAAGGTTTTCGATGGGGTTCTCAAGCGTGCGCCAGGTGAGATGATGGAGGTTGTGAGCAAGGTAAAGGTCTTGCCTGCGGAACTTGATGAGAGGACCGCAGAAATGTTCCATGCGAGTTGTTATGTTGCTGGGACTGCAGCACTCAAGCCTGGAAAGGAGAGCAGGTGGGACTTTTTCTTGATGTGAGTATTCTGGGGATATTTGAAAAGTAGAGCGCAGCTGACAAGTGAGCAGTCACCACGTCAACGCATCGCCAATCTTCCTCTGCTTCAACTCCAAATCCTGGATCTCCACAGAGAACAAGATTCGGATGCTGGAACACAAGATCCGTATGGACCTCGTCCAGTACGCGGCGCGTGGCAGCCCGCAGATCCGCGTCGACGCCATCAGCTCGTACAGGCCGAAGGACAAGGACCAGAATAAGCAGCTCGTCTCCGAGCCTACAGGTTAGTCGATTCGCTGAGTCACCGAGAGAAAGCAAACTAAGTTTAAAATAGATCTCCTTCCTAGATTCCACCACCAGTCTGACGATGGGCACACCATCAAAGTGGTACGAGCACTCGGAATTTGTCAGAAGCTGTCCCAGAAATACAGCAATAAGCCATGGATCAGGATCAAGAATGACGACGAGTGGCTCAAGCTGCATTACTCAGTTCTGGACGGGACGGAACACTCTGGCACGAAATGGGTTCGATCGACTGGCCTGGACGAGGCGTGGAAGGTGAGTAGTCGAAATGAGATGCTCGAACTTTGCCACTGACTTATCAAGGACGTGCCCTCTCGGGACTCCTCGAAACTGTAAGCAAATATGATATGCCGATGAAGCGACTGCGTAGGACTTTCGGTGGCGGCCGGGGTACTGAAAGATATCACCGAGGACGTAGGATGCCGGAAATTGTAAAAACGGGGTATACATTGTAATTTTATCTATTCCAGCCCATTATCTAATCCATACCAATCCAACCCTCACCATCAGACTCGCTCTCACCATCCTCAGCATCTCCAATTGCTAGCGTCTTACCGGGAGCGTCGTAAGCCGCGAGATCCAGCATCTTCACACCGCTCGACTCCTTCTCACTAACCTGGCCAAGCAGGTAATCCACCATGTACACGTTGTCGTCCGCCAGCCTCCTAATCTCGTCCCTCATTCGTGCGACAGCTCTCGAAACAACACGCAGCTCAACGTCAACCTTGCCCCTGTGCTGCGTGAGCCAGGCACCGTGCTTGTCGACTAGTGCCTTGACCCAAAGCAGACAGAACTCAATGTGCGGCGTCTCCTCCGTCTGCGCGGCCACGAAGCGGAGTAACCTCGGGACGTAAACGATCGGCGTGTCCTCAACGACGAGGGCGATGTCGCTGTGCGGTATTGAGAGGAAAACACGCTTGATCAGACCGGCCTCATTGAGGCGGAAGGCCATGACCAGGGCCTTGAGGTAGTCCTTCTCGTTTTCGAGGACGGCAAGGGTGGAGGCGGGTGTGATTTCCATGTTCAGGTCGAAGGGATCGAACTGCAGGAGGTTGTCGAGGCTGTAGATCAACAGGCCCTCAGTGGAGGCGGCGCAAAAAGCCGTGCCAGTGGGCGCAAAGGCGACGCCTGAGACGCGGACTTCGGGCTGCTTCTTCCTCGAGGAAGGGTCGCCGCGCTTAGAGCCTGGGAGGGAGTTGTCCACTCTGTCCTCGCGATCAGAGGCCTCTTGATCATCGAGCACGGCGTCGGGGCCGGCTTCGGTGAGGTGTCTGCTGTTGAGAAACTCTTGCGTTCCGGAGAGGGAAAGGTTGACACTGACAGTGAACTTCTTGAGAAGCACCATCGTGTGGACGGAGTAAAGGCAGATGTACTTGCTGTTGCCGCCGGCCAGCAAGCAGCTGCCATCCGTGCTGTATCGAATCGTGTTGAAGCTCTTTGTGCCTGCTACGTTGGCTGCTGTCCTGCGGTCGGTGATTTTGCGACCACCAGAGACATCGCGGCGGCCGTCTACACCTGACACCTGTTCTGCATCCTGGATAGACCAGAACGACAGCTGACCGTCCAGTGTTGAGACGGCAAGCTGCAGCGAGTCGGGGCGCACGGCGATGTCGAGCACATCGGCTTGCAGCTGCAGAGGCTCGCTTGTTTGTGTTCGGTTGAAGATGGACCACACTCTTGCGGTGCGGTCCCAGCTACCACTGATGAGAGAGTCTCCGTTTGGCGTGAAGGCCAAAGCGGACACAGGTCCTTCATGTCCTGACAGTTGGTCCAGGAGCTGACCTGTCTGTACAGACCAGATGTGGATATCGAAAGAGTCCAGAGATCCAGCAGCGACGACCTCGCCGCTGGGGTCAACGGCCATGCAGGACCACGATAACCTCGTC